TGAACTGAGAGATCATGACCTGAGTTGAAGTCGGATGCCCAACCAACTGAGCCACCCAGGGGCCCCGGGGCTTCTCCCCTTTGGAAAGAGACATATAGTATGGCCTGCCTTACTACACTCATACCCCACTTATGACAGGTAAATTCCCTTCTGCCCGTGTAGGCAGTTTTCTGGCTTTCCTCTTGGTGGGCAGGCCCAAATTGACAATCCGGTCCACAGTTAGGGATCACTCAGTCTCGTCTCCAGTGTCGCCAGCTCAGTTTCATCCAGGATCTGTTCAAACGCTTGTTAAAGAAATAGGGACGAAGTGGAGCTGGAAACATAGAAAAGACCCAGTCCTCATCCTCACCAAAGCTCCTGGTTCAACCAGGGGCGAGGGGGCTAACTGTGGCTCAACATGCTACGTGTAAAGGGGAAGCCTGAATCCAGGGCTCCCTGGGGGCCCCAGGTCTGGGGTTGGGGAGGCTGTCGGGATGGATGAGGCAAGTCTTCACCTATGCACTGATGCTACAGGAGTAACAGCTAGCCTGATGATCGCATGAGAGCTAAAGGGAGAGGAATGGGGGTCCCTCTGCAGAGGACTGGGGGAGCTGCTCCTTCTGAGAAAGGGAGGATCTGTCTGCTCTGGGGACAGAGTAAAGAGACGCAGGGGCAGAGACAGACAGGAGTCACTAAATGCGGGCAGGAGAGTGTGTGCGACAGGGGGAAGAGGGGCTGGAGCACCTGCCCAGGAGGCCAGTATGGGAGTTTCGGAGCTCACGGTGCACAGATGTTGCTTGTAAATCAAGACAGGGCTGAGGTTGGCCTCGGAGCTGTCACAGGATTAAACAGAGACATGCCGCGAGAGAGATCTTAGGTGCAGGGAGCAGAGGGCATCTCTGGGGAAGAAGCCCAGGACTCAAGAATTCGCAGGGAGAGTTTTGTTGGCTCAGGCAAAGAGGTGGTCAAGAGCTTGACTGGCGGGGAGCATGCGCGGTGGCGGGTTTGGGTTGGTGGGGCGGTGGGAACTGCTTTTCTCCATTGGTCTCACAATCTCCATTTCCTTTAGCATTGTTCCATCTTAGTCTCAACCATGAGGTTATTATATTATCCGTAAAAATGTGGAAAAGCCCCCCACCCCCGTTTCCCACCACCCCTACCCTACTTTACTGCCTCTGGTCACACACTGCGGGGTCGAGGCTTAAGCCAAGTATAACCGGCCCACAAAGATGCAGGGGGCCCCAGGGGACCTTAACCATTAAAGGAAAAATAACAGACTGATCAAGGCGTTCCCAAGGGGCCAGCCAAGAGATGCCGAAGCCCACGCAGACTTCTCCAAGGGTAGAGTGGGGTGGGAGAGCTTCCCCTGAGGGGGCCTGAGGGGAAAGATAAACAGAAAGGAAAAGCAGCATTCAGAGGAGAGGAGGAGAGAGGAGACGCCACCCCCAAATGTGGCAAGAACGTCTGAGTGGCCTGCAGGATGGGACCGTTCACTGAGACCTCTCAGTCATACTGAATCTCTCCATGTCCTCCAAACCCACACAGTCTGTGGTAACATAGTGGTTCCCTTTCAACCACTAAAGTAGAGGTCGGGCCACATGAAGAGCCAGCTGCAGTGACTGGGCCACACTGGGCCACACTGGGAATTCAAGCAGAGGAGGGCACATGTAGTTGGCTTAATGCCTGGCTGGGCTTTGTGGATGCAGGGGCTGGCGTGCCCGTGTGTGTGCGTGTGTGTGCGTGTGTGTGCGTGTGTGCATGCGTGTGTAAAAGGGAGCTTGCCCGCCAGCAGATCAGGCCCACCAGCAGCAACTGCCCCGGCAGTTGGGGATTAGGGGGCTTCCTGCGAGGCCAGTGCAGCTAATTTAAGTCATCTGTCTGCTGAAACTTAGTTAAAATGAAGTTTTAGTAGGATTCTTCCTGTGGGCTCTGTGGTTAAACAGAAATTCCTTTGAAATGATGTCTGAAGAGTGAGTCAAAACAAGGCCGAAAGCTAGGGATGAGTAACTCCAGGCCGGAGCCTGAGCTGGGTGGAGAGGATATTTACGAGGAGCACACAGTCCAGAGCGGCTTCGAGATGCTCTCCAGCTCTGGACCCAGGGCGTGGCCTCTGCTCCCTCCCCATCCCACTGCTGTTCCTGGTCCTACAGAATTCTGGGGGTGGGGCTGAACCTCAATAATCACAGTCAAGCCCCTCTCTTTGCCAAAAAAAAAAAAAAAAGTTTCTTTCATTGCTTTGTCTTTCTAAAAAGCACCTTTGCTCATTATAGAAAATTAGACAATACAGACAAGCAAGAGGAAAACAGTATGGTCAAATACCCGTAATCTCACTTACTTCAAACAACCACTGGCAAAAGCATGATAGATCATTAAAATAGCCCTCTAGGTAAAGCGCATAAATTCTTAAGGCTTTTTCTGGATACATTCCCAGAAGTCAAATTTGGATTCTACAATCTGGATAATACTTTACACTATTAGCACCATATTAGATCATTAGAAGACCCTCCTAGGTAAAAATATATATTGGTGTTATTATATATAGTATAATGCAGAATAGAATATATGCTTCATATAAGATGTATAATAAATGTTATACTATGTATAATAAGTTATATGTAATATATATTTCATATACACATACAGATGTACCTTTTTTAAATAGAAATGAATTCATCCTATATAAACCAATTTTTGGTGATATTTTCCCCTTTTACCTAATATTTTCTGCTCTGTAGATATGTTTCTTAACATCATTTTAATGCCTTTGTATAATCCTACTACCTAAACTACTAACCTTATTTAACCAGTCCCCTGCTGCTGGACACTTAGGTTATTCCAACTTTTTCTCTATTAATAGCAGTGCTGTAATGAACATTCATGCCGCTAAATATTTGCATTAATTCTCAATGCTTTTTTTTTGGGGGGGGGGAATACATTCCCAGACATCAAATTGCTCACAGCTTCTCGATTTTCATAGGCTAGGAAAATGAAACCCAGAGATTGGCCTAAGGAACTAGAAGAATAATAAAAGGCGGTAGGACAGGGGAATGGACGGCCCACGAACCAGAGCCCAGGCCTGCTGGTTCCAGATGCAGCACTCTTCGCGCTATACAAGATGAGGAAGGAACTCTCCAGATTCCTCGGACAGTTGGCAACATCAGCTGGGAGAATGGAGGCCACAATGGTGATACGATGTCTTGTAAAACCAGGGGCTCTTAATTCAAAGTCACTTATGGGAGTCACTCACTTTCTAGAGCCTCAGGTCCGGCTACTCTTGACATGTGTGTGGTGTGCATCAGACCTTGGCAGTATTTACCTACCTTCAGCTTTGACACTCCACTCTCTACCTTCTTTCTTTCCAGCTGGCCACAGGTGAATTGGGACATGTGTCTTTCAATTCTACAGGAATTTCCTGGCCCATTATTATGCAATACCAACTTCTCACTTAACATCTCTGGCCTGACAGTATTTGGAGAACAATCCTAAGGCCTCAGAACAGAAACACAGATCGTCCTGTTTATTAGAAAGTAGGGCAAAGTTCCTGCCACCCATGGCTCCCCCACCACACGTTAGTAATACAACATAAACTGAACCACCCAGCGGCTGAATCTGTAAAGTAGCAATCTTCCTCCAAGGAAGAAGATGGCTGGGTGGAGAAGAGGTCCTGGGGCAGGCAACAGCTCTCTAGAGGACTGCAAATGGGGGTGTAGAGGAAAGGAGAGGTTATGCAGTGAAGTCAAAAGAACGTTGGCCTTTGAGTGAGGCTACTGGGATCCAGTGCTTCCCATGTGCTGTGTGGCTTCAAGGAAGTTGCTTTCTACCCTGGTCTCGTTTATTCATCAGTTAACCAGGGCACCAGACCAGTTCAGCCTTACTGTTCCTTTCTGCTTTAGCTGCTCTGCCGTTTTCCTCACTCCTTTGGGACATTGGTTCAGCAGCATACTTCAGAGCATTCCTTTTTGCGACTTTTGACAGTCTTTTTGTGTTTTCTGAATCTTATAGATGAATCACCAGTCATTGATCCTATGCTGATGCCGTGGAAAAAAGTCTAATGCCAGTGGTGTTCTAACGCCAGTGTCAAAGCCCTGGAGGTATCCTTCCCATAGCAACAAGATCTTTTTTAATAATTGACCACACCCAGGGCGCCTGGGTGGCTCAGTTGGTTAAGCGGCTGACTTCGGCTCAGGTCATGATCTCGCGGTCCGTGAGTTCGAGCCCCGCGTCGGGCTCTGTGCTGACCGCTCAGAGCCTGGAGCCTGTTTCAGATTCTGTGTCTCCCTCTCTCTGACCCTCCCCCGTTCATGCTCTGTCTCTCTCTGTCTCAAAAATAAATAAACGTTAAAAAAAAATTAAAAAAAAAAATAATTGACCACACCCTTTGTATTCGAAGCCTAGCACAAGGGCTCCGGGAGCTAGAATGTCCACCTCACATGTACCTCAATGCTTTCTTTCTGCCTCCTTCCTACAAAGCTTTTGGGTCACCAGAGTTGGTAGAGTCTGTCACGCCAGCCTGATCAAGCGGTAGTGCCTTCCTCGAGGGTTTTACTACACAGGACTCTAACCTTCCATCGTCAACCAGAAAGACTGCCATGTCTGCCACACAGAGGAATGGGGGCAGGCCGTGACGTCACCATTTCTCACTCTCCCTGACCTACATACACCATGAGGTGTCCCAGCTTTCCAAAAGGTTCCTATGCTCCAGGGTTCGTGGTAAAGAAAAGCCGCTCTCTCAAGGAAGATGAGCTTGGAGAGGAGGTGACACGTGTTGTCCAAGCAATATCTCATCCCAAGCCTTCTAGCAGCATGTCGTCTCCTACCTCTACCATTCCTCCAATGGCTTCCAATGGCTCCTCCTCCAAGCCTTCTTCGACGTTCATTTTGAATTTCTCTTGAATCACATTTTGTTTTGAGGAGGTGAGGGGGGGGCAGTCACAGTGAAATTGGCTCTGGGCCTCTGTTTTCCAGCAGGAGGACGCTGGCTGGATTCTCTGTGGGCTGGGAGTTGGAACTTCAAAAAGAATTCACCATCTTCTCCCGGCAACAGAAGATGTAGGAGCCAGGACCTGGAGGACATGTTTGATGTTTTCCCCTCATTCTTTCTTCGTGGACGCAAAGTACAGCGAGTTTACAGTGGCGATGAGTAAGTAAGGTATCAAGTGGAAAACCCCAGAAGGGTTTTTAAAACAGGCTTCCTAGAGCTGAGGAGAGCATACAGCTCTATTCATGACGGTGTGACCTTCTGGACAAGCCGAGATCTGGAATGGGAAACCGGAGCTCCGCCTCCAGCCTTGTCCCTCACGGGGAAAGTCACTTCCCCCTCTCTGGGCCTCAGTTTCCTGATCCGTTACCCACCCTGCCCACCTCAAAGGGTTTGGGGGAAGAGGTGATGAGAGAAAGGATGTGAACGGGCTTTGAAAAGAAGGCTCAAGAGCTGTGTAAATGGAAGGAGTGACTGTTTGTTTTCACAAGTGGAGTTGTCTCTTTGCCATTGCCACTGGAGAGGCTGTTCGGGCTGTAAGTATTTGACCTCTGAGCTTTGCTCAGACTGGAGCAGCTGTGGGTGGCAGGAATGCAGGGAGGGAGGAAATATCAGAGTTAGCCAGCATGGGCCTCAGTCTCAGAGTTGGCCAGGCTTCTACAGGGGAAAAAATATCTCAAGTAGCTCTTTGTGGTCATGAAGAATACACTTATGTGATTGTTTTTAAGTATTTTAGACTCTGAAAAAAAGCTTTAAGGAACCCATCGCAATGGACAACAGTAGAGTTACTCATTCAACTTCGCGGGAACAAATCCACGTGAAATGGAGAATGGAAGAAATTAGCTAAATAATTCAGTCCCGTCTTCAATCTAGCATGCAGGTGCACACACACACACGCGCACACACACACACACACACACACATACACATGGATTATTTCACCCACATTGATTCAGAGTGTGGTTTTAATTCTTGCCCCTTTCAATCGGGTTAGAACCTTTCCAGTCTTCAAAGTTCTTCTCAATCCTTTGTCATTTTATACTCAGTGCCCAGCACAGTTCCTGGCTCATAGTAGGCACTCAGTAAGTTTCTGATCAATGACATACCGCGTGATCTGGAGTATACTCTTACCAACATGGCCTCCGGTGAACCACACGTCTCTGAATCCATGTGGAGCCCTCTCCACACTGACTCTGGGCTTAATTTGCTTGCCTGGAGAGATTTTAGTAAATGCGATACAAACAGGCACGTGAACGGCACATTGGAACATCACACTTGTGAAGAAGCCTGGGCCAGCCTGCAGGGGACACGTGGCCAAGTCAACAGCCAGCTTCACTACTGCTAGCCATGTGAGTAAGGCTGTTTTAGACCCTCCAGTCCCCATCAAGCTGCCAGATGACTGCAACCAGACAAAATCAGCAGAACGGCCCAGTTGAGCTCAGTTCAAGTGCTGACCCATAAAATCATGAGAAAATATATTGTAGTTTTAAGCCTGTGAATTTTGGGTTGGCGTGTCATACAAAGACAATTGAGACGGTACTTTTTTTAAAAAGTGCATAGATAGATACCTTTGGACCAGAAATGACAAATATGTAACATCTCATCTAACACATTTAATGGATTGGTACTGTCTTCCTGGAGGGCCATGTGGAGGGGAACTTGAAGTCCCAGTTACTAGAAGAGAAAGCCATGATTCATTAGTAATGGGTGCAAAGAACGCGGATGGGAATAGTGGCAATATGCGTGCCTTATTTTTGCCATCTTTGTTCCTTTTTATCAATCAGGGACCAGCGAACAAGGAAAGAATTATCAAAGTGAAATGCTAAGTGGGCCATTTGGTAAGGAGATTTTCCACTGAGTTAGGGCACAGCTCCCAGGGACAGTGATTATGAAGGTAGAACTCCTTGAGTGAACTCAAGCAGACGTTATTTATGTCACTGGAGAACACAATTCCGTGACTGCAGAAACCCACAATTTGGAGCTCTGGTTGATTTCCCAGGTTTGCTAGCGGGCAGTGTCCAAGTGGCTTTACTCTGCCCACAGATCTGATCATCAGCTTCATAGGTACAGAAACTCAGTGTTTTCGGTACATCCAGAGGTGGTCCGGCTCTTGGGAACAGCCCTACAAGAATCATGTTCATGCGATTCCGTCAGCAAAATAAAATGCAAGGACTTTCCAAAGATACAACAACTCTTATTGGCTCCCCAGACTCAGTTAGTCATCAGAAAAGCTCCGTCCCACAAAGAAGATGGAATGAGAAGAAAGGAAGTGGGAAGGTTCGGAGGGAATATTTCACACGAGTCAGTAAAGGCGGATAAAATATCTCTGTCTGACGAGAGTACCCTCTCTGTAGCAGTGGGAAACCATGAACCTCAGGTCCAGTGTCTCTCTCCCTTGAGAATAATTGGAAGCACACTGACCAGTTGTAGACATTGACTTATCTTCTGACATCTCTGCAGACCCCATTCCTTCTGGAAGATATGCTTTCCTCGGACACATTAACATAATTGATTAAGCCATTGCCATTTTTTTGGTTCAGCAGCACCATCTGAAGATCCCACCTTCTTTAGAGTTTGCCTGCCCAAGCTCCTGACTATCCATTATCAACTTGATTTATAAGGCATCTTTCCCCTTCCAAGATTTCTACATAACGCATGGATTTTGTCCCATCTACCCATCCATCCGTCCATGCATCATTTCATCTACTTATTCTATAAATCACATGCACTCAGTTGGTCTGGGGGGCCACAAAGAGGAATAAACATGGACCCTGCCTTTGAGGAGCCTCAAAGGTGAGAAAGGAGATGGGAGTTGAGGTGAAGACTCGTCCTAGATAAGCCCAGGAAAGACAGGAGGATACTGTAACTAAGACTGAGCAGCGGTGATAGGGAAGAAGGGGCAGATACCAGTGTTACGGAGAGAAAATGAACAGTGATTGCCCAGTGGGCAGGCAGTGAGAAAGAGGGAAGAGACCAGAGCAATAAAAATGGTTGTAAACCACTAAGTATTCATTAGTATCATCATTATGACCATTAATAGCTGGCATTTATTGAGAACTTTCACCATGCCAGGGACTATTCTGAGCCCTTTATATGGACAAATTCACGTAATCCTCAACACCAAGTAAGGTAGTTACCATCATTATGTCCAGATTTCAGATGAGGAACTATAGGAGGAAGATCCACAGAACAGTTCTAGAAATGTGTCATTTGGCATGCCTGGGACCGTCCCAATGGAGAGCTCCAGCAGGGAGTGTAATGGCGGGAGGCCAATGAGAGCATCTGTGCTAGAAACATCAACTGAGACACCATCTGCGCCTACACGTGGTGGTAGGAGCCACAGGTCTGGTATGGCAGGTTGAGGACAGGGACAAGGTCAGGACCCAGGAGAAGACCCAAGGCTCCTCACTAGGGGGCCTTGAGTATGGAAATGAATGATTAAACAGTTAGGCTATCTCTCTACCTTGGTGCTGCCCGTGGAGGTGGCAGCCATGTCTTACTGGGCATCATGTCTGCCCTCAGATCTCTGGTGAATCACAAGATCAGTAAAAACAGAACCGGGAAGCTCACCCAGCACCGGTCAGACCAATATGTCCAAGTTGAGGGCAAACGGCACAAATCAGAGGGCCCAGCCTGATCTTGATGTCCAACACTGGTTACGGGAGCAGTAAGAAAACCAAGCACGGGCTGGCCGGTGGCTTCTGGAAGTTTCTAGTCCACAACGTCAAGGAGCTCGAAGTGCTGCAGGTGTGCTACAAATCTCACCGTGCACAGGTTGTTCACGATGTCTCCTCCAAGGAGCCATGAGCAGCCCAGCCGGCCGCTGGAGTCACCAGTCCCAATGCCAGGCTGCGCAGCAAAGGAGACGAATAGAGAGACAGCTCATGCACCCACTGCATTTGTGTTAATAAAACCACAACACCCCCAAAACTTTTTTTTAAAAGTTAGGATACGCACCAGAACAGGAGGTGTCAAAGCAGCAGAGCGAGCCAAAGGTTTCAAAAAGGAGGCAATGTTCCAGCGACTTCAATCCCACCCGAGAGAGAGCACACAAACGTGTATGAGAAGCAGCCACTGAGTTAGACATTCAGGCAGTTTGACAGCTAGTGACGTCGAGAATCACAGTTTTAGAGGCATACACACCATCTCCCAACACGTCTGGATCAGTGGTTCTCAGATTCTGGTGCAGAAGACTTTCCTGGCAGTTTATTAAAATTCAGATTCCTGGTGGCAGTTTATTAAAATTCAGATTCCTGGGACTAGCTCCGGAGATTTGGATTCATAAGGCTTGGGTCAGGGTCCAGGAGCCTAAATTTTTAAACACCAACCCCCACCCCCACCCCGGTCCCTGCAAGGTGATTCTGATGCGGTTGTTTCCAAAACTATACTTTGATAAGCACTGCCCTGAAGACATAAGCATCCTTTCCCCACCTGCCCCAGGTTCCGGTTTCCTGTTAAATGATCCACAGGCTCCCTGCGGGAGGTCAACGCTGTGAGTGGCCAGCCTTCCCGGTTCATGCCTTCCCACGGAGGCCTTGCTTCCCGGGCCCTAGTGGTGGGATTACGTCTCAGGACTACAGTTAGCAAAGCGTTCATCGTACCACAGACACACGTGCACATTCTGTGCATATGCAAAATAGGAGAGAAAGCATTTATCCCAGAGATGAACACTTAGAAGCAGATAGATATAAATACAAGTGACTGATCCAATCGAGACAGAGGAGGAGCCTAGAATAATGCAAAAGGAGGCAGATTAGCACTGGGTGTTGTATGGAAACCAATTTGACAATAAATTTCATATATTAAAAAAAAAAAAAAAAAGGAGGCAGATTTGCTCAAGTGAGTCAAATACCACCAAAGAGAGCCTGTAAAAGAGGTTCTTAACGGTCAAGTGCATGATATTTACTCTAAGGGAGTACAGCCTAACTTTTTAATCATTCATTTCCATACTCCCTACCGGGCTCCTTTTCCTTCAAATGCCCCCAAGTGCAAAAGGAACACAGACGAAGGACTAACAAATTCTACTCGGAGAAGAAGCTGGTGAAGGCATCCCCAAGGAGGTAGCACGGAGTCCTTCCCCAGTAAGAACTCCCAAGGCAGAGAAAGGGAAAGGGATCTGAAGGCAGAGGAAAAGCGAGTATAAGAGCAGGGGGTGGGTGGGGGGAGGCACAAAGGAGCAGGGTGTTTCCAGGAAGCCTAGGAAGCTTGGCTGGAAGAGAGGAAGTAGGGCTGGAGGGAGGGAGAGGCAGATAGAATAAGAGTGAAGTAGCTTGAAAAGCTAGGGTCTTGGAGGTTCTTCCTCGCATGCTAAGGATTTTAGAGCCAATCTCAGCGGAAACGGAGAGTCCCTGCGGTTTCTAAGTGGGAGCCGCATCTTTTGCTTTAGGGAGCTGGGGATCCCACGCCGGGGAGGCGGGCCGACTCCTTCCCTTCCACCCGCCACAGGCATCCAGTGGAAGAGAAATCTCCAGCACAGCCAGGCTCGTGGATCCACAGGGTACTTGCAGCCACAGCTTTTGAGTCTGTTTCTTCTCCCCGAAGCCTCTCATCTAGGAAATAAACCGCAGGGAACGCGGAGGGAGAGAAAGAGGAGGGAGAAATAACACTCAACTCCAATTCCTCAAGTGGAAAAAAGGAAGGGTGACGCCCTTCCTGTCTACACATGGGTGGAAAATAATCACCAAAAATGAAGTTTGGTTTTGCAGGGTGGGCTAGGGGAGGAGAACCAAAAATGACCGAAGCACAACAAAGCAGAAAAAACCAGCAGGGGAGGAAGGAGTATAAAAACAGGAAGGCCCCAGGGGCAGATTCTCTGCAGGGCGTGGGGCTGGGGAAGAGAACGCTGGCCTGGCGTGCAGGCCTTTCCCCGTAGCCTTGGGCACTAGAACCGTCCAGGACGTGCATGGGGTCAATGCCAGACACACCTGGAAAAGTTCAAAAACCGTTTCTGGATGGGATGGGGGAGGAGTAGCTTCCAGGCTGCCCAAGGGGGCCCCGGGGGCGAAATAGGAGGCAGCCGCTAAATTCAAGTCAGAAACCGAGTCCTGGGTGCGGGCCTATGTGACTTTGGGCAAAGGGCCTCTACCTTCCTGGGCCTGTTTCCACTTCCGGGATGTCGTGTGGTTGGCCAGGCCTCTGTGCATGGGTGGCCAAGGGACACATTGAAATCCAGCTGTGCACTCTGGCGTGAGCGGTGAACGCGAAGACAGAGCGTTTTATTTCTCTAAATTTACGCCAAAGGATTGTTCCGCCGGCCAAACCAGAGGCCACAGGACTGGAACCGCTTAGGTCACCTTTTTTCTCTTCTCCGGGGACTTCAGGACCTAATGGGGGCCCTGGGTGCAGTGTGCTAGGCTGGGAAAATCTGCTGAGCCCCGACTCCCCCTGCTCACCGGGGAGGGTGTCCCATGCCGTGCTTAGGAACTTGGACTTCAGTGTGAAAGAAACAGAAAGCCAGATTTGCTGGAGCCCACCCGCCTCCCCCTCGTACTTCTCCTGGCCCTGCTCAATGTCACCTATCTCCCAACACAGCAGGCTGCCTGGGCCACCTCAGGGGTGAGCACTGAGTTTGGGCGTGACCATTACTGTGCCCCACTCTGATGGGAGGAGCTAAAACAGCCCCAGCACCCACGTCCAACCTGACCTGGATGCGCCGGGGCTGGCCCCAGAGCTGCCCAGAGGGCCCGGGTTCACAGCCCAGACGTGTGAGGGAGTTAGTGCCCACGGGGTGGGTTTTGACCAGAGAGAGACCTGAGACAGAGAGGGAGCAACAGAGAGACCCCTGAGTCTCCACCCCAAGATGGTTCCCAGGCGCAGGGCGTTTATGTGGTGTTCCCAGAAACACCCAGCATGGCCACACGATCCTTCCTTACTCGTGCGGCCGCAACCCCACAGAAGAGACCATTTTGTGTTCGCTTTTGCTTTCTCTCCACCTCACGTCCCCTTTCTTTCAGTGTCTCTGCCCTGGGATTACCCACCCCTCCCCGTAGAGCCTTGGCACATAAGCTTTGCCTCTTGCTTTTTAGGGAAAATGGGCGAAGGCAGAGGGCTCGATGGCTCGTTACTGGCCATCTTGCTGACCGTGGCAAGTGAGGGCTGGCCACGTTAGCCACGTGACTTTTCTCACTTGGGTGCGTTGGAACGAAGTTTTACTTGTCACACACGTTTGGGCCGCAGAGTCCAGAGGGCATGGGGTCAGTCAGGCCCGGGGCTCGAGTCCTGGCTCTGTCTCCCGTGCTAGTTTACATGCATGAACTTGGACGACCGAAGACCTCACCTTGCCTAGTCTTGGTTTCCTCTTCTGTGAGGAAGATGGAGACAATAAAACTTACTTCACGGACTTGGTGATGATTCAATGGTGACATGATGTTTGTTGAATAGTCAGCCGACTGCTGGACGCATGGGATGAGCGCAGACAATGCTGTTTCTGTTGTAACGATTAGGAAAATTGAAGAGTAGGCATCCAGGAGGCCTTTGAGTCAGCGCCCTGCCACAGCAACTCAGACAGGGACAGACGAGGCCTGCAGGAGGGGTGTGGCCTTGGTGGCCGAGGCCAGCCTGGAAGATTTCCCAGACTAGATTCTGAGCATGGGGACTCTTGTTTGACCCCTAATGTTCTTCCTGGTCACCCATTTCATCTACAGGCTGCACATGCCCATCAGCCGCCTACTCTGACCTTGGCCTGGAGCGTGTCTACCTCTCACCCTTGAGCGCCTTATCCGCTGCTATTCCTGTCCCCATCTGACCCTCAGAAAGGACAGGCTTCTTGCCGGGCACATTTCCACTCTGGCCTTGGTCTTGGAGACCAGAGGCATGATTTGGCGGGAGGTGAGGTCCGCGGCAACCTAGGACAGAGGCTCTCACTGCCAACGGCCTCAGCAGTCTGCGGAAGCCTCTGATGCCAGCTCCAGTGTCAGCCGCTGGACCTCAGGGACATTGCCACATTCACACAGCAGCGCTATTGCCCGGGGCCCTGTGTTCACAATTCCCGTCCCGCTTCTGAGTGGTAACAGACTGCAGGTGGGGCAGAGAGGGGGCTTCCACCCCCTCCTCATCCCCCTGTGTCTCTACACCTGACCCACATCTGAAGCTGAGCACCTTAGCTTCGAGGGAACTGAGGCAGGCTTGAGGATGTGCCCACAGTCTTACGGGAGTGTTTTGTTTTGTCCTGTTTCACTTGTCGATGATGAGGGAGCCTGCACATGGAAAAAGCCAGAAAGAGCAATGAAAGTTAGTGGAGTGCTCAGCCCTGGCCTCTCTTTCCTAGATGCCCCAAGCACACAGATGTCAACCAAGCGGCCTGGCCTTTTAGGAGAGAGATTAGCCATGTATCTCTCTCTCTCTCTCTCTGTCTCTTTAAATTAATTTATTTTCACAGAGAGAGAGAGACAGAGAGTGCATGCGCACGTACGAGCAGGGGAGAGGCAGAGAGAGAGGGAGAGAGAATCCCAAGCAAGCTTTGCACGGTCAGCGCAGAGCCCGGTGCGGGGCTCAAACTCACAAACCCTGCGATCATGACCCGAGCGGAAACCAAGAGTCCGATGCTTAACTGACGCGGGCACCCAGGCACCCCTCACTTTTTTTTTTTTTTTAACACCACTTCAAATTCTGCCAGTTTGCTTATATAAAAGGATAAAGGTCCAAAACCAAAGAAACAAAACCCCCTCCTGTGCTACGTCTGTATCTCCAAGTTCGGGGATACCTCCCTCTCTCTTCGGCGCCCCACAGACTCTGTTCTACGGTGATGTTTGTTATGTCGCCATCTGGTGGCGGCAGAGGGTAACGGCCTATCTGCGCACTGGGGTCATGGTCCTCGTTTCCACAAGCGCCCTATGTGTTGAGCGTCCACTCTGTATCAGGCACTGGGTGGTACCTGCGGTCATCCCTTGACATTAAAACTAAGCGGTAGGAACCTGCCCCCGGGATTGGTGCTTACTGCCCTTCCACGCCTTCCATAGCAGCTGCATCAAAGGACTCCAACCCCCTCCCTCCCCACTGTTTGAGATTTTACCCAAAATCTTGGAGGCTGGAAGGAGCCTGATGGAACAAGGCTGCCTGAGGCTGCAGAATCCATTGCAGGTGCCACAAAACGTGACCTCTTCCCGCTGTGGTAATCTCTCATCCCTACACGCCGGTGGTTCTCGCCCTGACTGCCCATTAGAACCACCGACAGGCTTTTACAATATTGTTTTTTTTTTTTTTAAACGTTTATTTATTTTTGAGACAGAGAGAGACAGAGCATGAACGGGGGAGGGGCAGA